TTTTCTTTTTTTTTTTTTTTTTTTTTTAATCTTTTTTCTCGTAGAATCGTAGATAAAACACGTTCGTGAGATAATAAAATTCGATGGACGATACGAAAGAAGAAAAAAAAAAAAAAAGGAAGAAGAAGGATTTTTAGAACATTCGTTCGATGTATAGAAAATGAAGCGATCGATAGATCATTTTTCTTTGAGTTTTACTAAGAAAAAATTTATCATTCTTTGCTCTCTCTCTCTCTCTCTCTCTCTCTCTCTCTCTCTCTCTCCCTCTCGATCTCTCTTTCTCTATTTCTATTTGTCGTTTAATCTCGCTTTTATTTTTCTTTTCAAATGAACTAAAGAAATAAAAAACGAACATACAAATCGCATTCGATTCGAACGATTCTGAAAATCTTAATAGACATAAATGATTCTATGATCGGATAGATTTCTCGTTGCATTAAAGTCGAGGAGAGTAATAATAATAATTAGATAAAAAAAAAAAAAAGGAAAAAAAAATAATAATAATAAAAAAAGAAAAAAAAAAGAAAAAGATAATATCCGTCCGATATCTTTTCCATCATCGGCAGGCGATAAGGAAAAAGAAAGAAAAAAAGAATGAAAGAATGAAATAGAGGAGAAGGAAAAAAGAGACAAGAAGAAAAAATAAACAAAAAAAAAAAGAAGACAAAGAAGTAAAGAATAGCAATAAGAAATTTTCATGGGTACAAGTTTACAAAAATTCGCAAAAATTAATTAAAGACATTTATGCCCTTTGAAATGTATAAACGAGACGTTTTAGGGTCGGCAACAATTTGGGTACAAATTTCTCATGTACAGAAATTACGAAAAATCAAATGATATAAAATTTATGAGTAATTTTTCTCTCTCGTTAATGTCATAAAAAACATTCTTCGAAGTATCGTAAATTAAGAATGATCAATGAAACATCACTTTTTCGATAACATTATTAATAGTAGATAGTAGTAGTAGTAGTAATAGTAGATAGTAGTAGTAGTAGTAATAGTAGATAGTAGTAGTAGTAGTAATAGTAGATAGTAGTAGTAGTAATAGTAGATAGTAGTAGTAGTAATAGTAGATAGTAGTAATAGTAATAGTAGTAGTAGTAGTAGTATTAGTAGATAGTAGTAGCATTAGTAATGATAATGAAGGCGTAGTATAGTAATAGTAGTAGTATTAGTAATAGTAATGAAGTAGTACAGTTGATAGTAGTAGTAATGATGACTGATGACGATGATAACGATGATGAATAGATGATGAATATGATGATGAACAGATACAGGCAGTATCAAAAGTTCCTAAATAGACTCAAAGAACATGATTATCTACGATCAATTTTAAAAATCAATTACACACAATGTTCCCTATCAGCGAGATTATATTTTAGGTATTTTCCTACTTTTATATATATATATACACATATATATATATATATGTGTGTGTGTGTGTATAATCTAACTATCTAATTAGATTACATTGAGAAAACAAAATAAAAGAAGGAAAACATAAAGAAATATTTACGAAAGGTAATAATTGATTTTTAAAATCGTTTAAAACTTTTTGACTCATTCTGTACTAGTAATAATAGTAATGATAATAGCAATAATAATAGTAGTAATAGTAATAGTAGTAGTAGTAGTAGTAGTAGTAGTAATAGTAGTGATGATAGTGCTAGTAGTAGTAGTAGTAGTAGTAATGGTAGTGGTATTTTTTGAGTTCCATAAGTTGTAATTGTAATTGTTGTAGTTGTTGCTATTGCTGTTGTTGTTGTTGTTGCTGTTGTTGTTGTTGTTGTTGTTGTTGTTTCTTTAGTAGGCGGTCGCTTGATGATGCATCAGAGGATTGAAGTGATGAGGTCCAAGATGATGAGGAGGCGGAGGACCTGGCAATGGGCTATGTTGTGGAGCAACGGTTGGCGGCTGACAAACGTACCACTCCGTCAACTCAGTTCCACGGGTTGCAGGATGACTTGAAGGCGGGTTCGAAGTTGTCGTTGTCGGGACAACCGGCGGTGGTTGGGGTGACTCTGTGTGACCGGTCACCGACAAGCTACCCCCGCTGCTGCTGCTCTCTTCGCCCTCGCTCTCGTACCCTCCACCTATCTTACCCTCGCCCAATGTCATACCGTGCACCTGGAACAAAAATAGGCGGAGCCTACTTTTAGATTTTGACCTGTCTGTTTTTATATTTATTTAATTCTTTTTCTATTTCTGTCTGACTCTCTCTCTCTCTCTCTCTCTTTTTTTCTCCTTCTTCTTCTTTTCTTTCTTCTTTTTCTTCACTTTTTCTCTCGTTCCTTCAGAGTGTCTATCTTTATTCATCTATCTGTCTATTCTTTTTTTTTTCATGTAAATAAAAAGCAAAGTGAGAGAGAGAGAGAGAGAAAGAGGTAGAATATATAAATAGGATTTGAGTTATTTATTTTTTGTTTTTTCTCAAAAAAAAAAAAAAAAAAAAAATTAATCGATAACAATTGTCGTAACAAATATAGCATATTGACGCGTAAAAAAATGTTTCCATGGTAAATACATTGTATGTATATTTATGTATTCATCCACGGGAACAAGAGATGCAACGGAAAGAATTTACGTAACGAAGAAAAAAAAAAAAAGAAAAAAAAAAGGAAATATCATAGAAATAGAACAAGGAATGATATTTTAATAAGACGGTCTCTTTTTTTCTTTTTCTTTTTTGTGTGTTCATTATTCCATAAAACAATTTCGATGATATACAATCACATATGTATCGTTGCACGCAATAATGATGAGTTCAATAAATCGTCGACAAATAAATCCAAATAACTAATTGTCTTATGGAGAAACGATATTTACTTTAATTGTAATTAATTGGCAAGATAACGTTGGAAGAATCAAAAAAAGAAAAAAAAGAAAGAAAAAGAAAAGAAACGAAAAAAAAAAAGAGAAAAGCAAAGAAAGCAAAAAAAATAGAAGAAAAGAAGAAAAGAAAGAAGGAAAGAAAGAAATGGAAGGAAGGAAGGAAGGAAGGAAGGAAAAACAGTTCTCATAAAGAACGAAAAAAAAATAATGGAAGAAGAATTGTAGAATGAGAAATATTTGTGTTATGTGTGTTGGACAGACCTTGGGCCCTCGATATTCAAAATAGAAAAGGGATATCTTCTATAGTTGGTAGGTCAAGAGGAAGGGTTGACGAGGAACGACGATACGAGAAATGAGAAACACGAGAAACGCGAGAAGATGATGTTCCGGGATGCTGGGATAAAGCGAAAACGGGCGGCATCGGTGGCTCAGAACTAGGGAAGACTTGGTTGAGAAAGGAGAAAAAAACGGAGAGAAGAGAAGTGGATAGAAGAAGAAGGAGAAGAAGAAGAAGAAGAAGAAGAAGAAGAAGACGACGACGACGACGACGATGAGAAGGAGGAGGAGGAAAAAGAGGATGAGAAGGATGAGGATAAGGAGGAGGAGATGGAGCGGAGGAATCCGTCACCCTCGTTCTTCTTTCATAATTCAGTGAGCAAATCTTGTCGACTGCCTTCCGCGAATCTCGTTTCGTTTAGACCAAAGAGAAAAGCTAAGAGAAGTTGAAATGTGTGTGAAATTTCTTGCAGCAGTTGGACAGACGTACACACACATACACACACACATACAGATATGACCGATGTATAGGTGAACATACACGTATACGCAAAGAAAAAAAGAAAGAAAGAAAGAGAGAGAGAAAGAGAGAGAGAGAGAATGACGTATATATATATATATATATCCTTTTATCATTTTATACATGTATCTATCCATCTGTTTATTCATCTATTAATCTATCTATTTATCTATCTATATATATTTTTTTTTCTCTTTCCCTTCTCTATATCTCATCCTGTGCCACGAATGATTTCCTATTAAGATTCCTTATGATCGCTCGTGCATGAATCTCACTTCGAATTTTCGTGTATCTCTTCCCTTCTGCCCTCCTCACCTACACCTTAACCTCCTTCTTCTTTTTTCCCTCTTCAAATCCTCCTCTCACCCTCCTCCCACCCACCCACACCCCTCGAAGCTCGCCATAATATTATAACACAATACTACATCCTATACTATTTCTTTTCTTTTCGATTTCATCTGATTGTTTTTTTTCTTCTCTCTCTCTCTCTCTCTCACTCTCTCTCTCTCTCTTCTTTTTTTTCTATTTTTTTCTATTCTTTTCTTTTCTTTTCTTTTTTTTTTCTCGATGGCGCAGCACGAAAGCGAACGAACCGAAGCTACGAAAGTAAACCACTGATGTATCCGCTATTGATCTTCACGGTCACGTTACGAAACTTCTTGAACGAACGCCGTGCTGCTCGAATTGGAAGAACCGCAAAAGGAAAAAAAGGAAAGAGAAAGAGAGAGAGAGAGAGAGAGAGAGAGAGAGAGAGAGGGAGGGAGAGATTATTTAATAATCATCCCCTTATAGAATATCTGATTAAAGAAAGAAAATTTTCACGACAATTGTGAGATAAAGAAATAATTGATGACAGATAAAAATAAAAGAAAAAAAAAAAAAAAAGGAGAAAACGAAAAATTGACAGGCTCAATCGTCAATAAAATCTGTTCGAAGTGATGATCGTAATGAAATTGTTAATGAAAAAGAAAAGAAGAAAAAAAAAGAAAAAAAAAAAAGAAAAAAAAAAAGGAAAAGAAAAAATATTAATATTCTTTATTAATACATTCCTTTTAATAAAACTTTTTATCGTTCTTATTGAAATTATTTTTATTAAGATTTAATTAACAATATGTTATAATTTATTATAAAATAATATATATATATATATATATATATATATATATATATGTATAAATGTTTATAAGATTATAGACATACCTTCATATGTTTGCGCAACGAGCTTGGATGTGTATAAGACTTGTCGCATCCTGACACTCGACAATTGTACGGTTTATCCGAGGTGTGAACGTGACTGTGTTTCTTGCGATCGCTGCTATTTGCGAACCGCCTTTCACATCCCGAATATTCGCATTTAAATGGTTTCTCACCTGTAACGATATAAAAAAAAAAAAAAAGAATAGACATATTATATTATATCCGATCTCAAAGTAATTTTAATCGGAATACAATTAACAAATTAATTCGCTTTTCTCTTTTCTTTTTTCTGTCGACTTGTTTTTTCTTCGTTCGAGCACGTCGACGTTTCTCTTTTCTCTTCTTTTTTTTCTTTTCTTTTTCTTTTTTCTTTTACATTCTTTCTCTTTTTTCTATCTTTCTTTCCTTCTTTCTTTCTTTTTTTATTTATTTATTTAATGTAAAAACCATGTCGAAAGGTCGTAAAGTATCTAACTGTAATTGAACTGTCATATAACTAATTATGATAGTCTGATAGAGAGAGAAAAAAAAAAAGAAAAAAAAGAAAAAACGAAAGAAAATAAAAGAAAAAGAAAAAGAAAACAAATTTGCACGATTATAAATCCTTATAATTTATCCGTCGAAACGTTTTCGTCGTTATCAAACGTATTAGACGAGGCTAATCGAAAACGCGATATCGAAAGCTCATCCTTTATGACGTTCATTTAAATGTCATGGGGTTAAAACGATAACCATAAAAAATGCAAAAAGATCCTTCTTCAATTTCAATCGTACATTCTATCTCTCTATCTCTTTCTAGCTTTCTATCTATATATCTATCTATTTAGAATTTAACGACCTCATTAAATCCTTAAACATATTAATTACTTGTCAACGAGACATAGAATACATACAGAGAGAGAGAGAGAGAGAGAGAGAGAGAGAGAGAGAGAGAGAGAGAGAGAGAGAGAAGTGAACGAAGCGATCGAAAGAAGAAAAGAGATAAAAATACATAAAAGAAAAAAAGGAAGCGAAAAAGAAAAAAGAAAAGAGAGAGCGAAAAGAAAAAAAAAATAGAAGAAGAAAGATAATTGACAATGTCCAATGAAAGAGAATTTCGTTGTAACGAGGAGAAAAGCGATAAGATGTTTCGAGTAATAGAAGCGAGAAGGAACATGGAAAAGGAGAGAGTAAGAATAGAAAGAGTAAAAGGAGAGTACGGTGTAATTAAAAGGAGATTAAGAGATCGTGATTATAAAAAGCTTTGCCCTGATTTCCGTTTATCTCGAGTTTTAGTCGTAAGGGTTCTTTTCGTCGTTCTTAACTTAAAAGAAGTAAGAGAAAAAGAGATAAAAGATATCGAGAGATAAGGTCTTTTTCTCTCTCTCTCTCTCTCTCTCTCTCTCTTTTCACTCTTCTCTTCTTTCTCTCTTTTTACACTTCTCTTCTTTTATCCCCCTCTCTCTCTCTCTCTCTCTCTCACACCACAAATGGGTGCCATAGTCGTTGAATTATATATCTACATACATGTGTATATACATGCAATATATGCGTATGTGTGTGTATGTATATATATACATGTGCATGTGTGTGAGTGTGTGTGTGGGTGTGTATATCGAGACCGTGTGGCGTGACTCTTATTTATTTCCAGCGGAAGTTGACTGGAATATATTTTAACGTCGGTTCGCACCCCTTCCTCCTTTTTCCTTGCGCCAAAGGCCGCGAGGGTGGTGAAGGAGGAGGAGGAGGAGGAGGAGGGTGGTGTAAGGTGGTGTGAGTTTGCCCGGTCACCCTCCTCTTCCGGAAAGGCTTTTCCTCTTCTGGCACTCGCCTTGAGAAGAGACCAAGCCGGAAACGCGAACTTGGCGGATTTCTTTTTTTCTCTCTCTCTCTCTCTCTCTCTTCGTTGTTCTTTTTTTTTCTTTTCTATTTCTTTTTCTCTTTTTCCTTTTTTTTTTTTTTATGGTGAAAATGGCGGCCAACAACTTTTCTTCCTTTCTTTCTTCCGTTTTTTTTATCTCACGAAAAAGTACGCGCGCGTGTTGCACATTTAAATATATCTCATTTTCAGATATCTCCATTTTATTTGAATACCAATATACTTTTATTCTTTATTTATTTTCATTCAATCGAATAAATATATTTTACGTTTATACGCGTCACTTTTATTTGTATTCGTGTTATAATTTTCTTTTTTTTCTCACATTTTTTTTTTTTTTTTTTTTATTTTAATTCAATCCTCCTTTTCTCTCTTCTCTTTTTTCGTTTTACCTCTGCAATATCGTCAAACGTTAAAATCCTCATCGCGTATCATATTCGAAAGAAAAGGAGGAAAGAGAAGGAAACAAAAAAAAAAAATTAAAAAGAGAAAAAGAGAGAGAGAGAGAGAGAGAGAGAGAGCGAGAGAAAAAAAAAGGAAACAAGAAATTTCTTTTCCCCTTACATTTTCAAAAGGAAACAATTACGTCAGTTATCGATTACGGTTGATTTGTATATATAAATATGTAGAAGACAGGTAGGTATATAATTTACGTTTAATAGTTACCTATTAACTATTCTATCATAATCAGCTAGCACAACTTGAACGTCATTATTCATTTCACGTGTGAAAAGTGCGATAAGATAGTAGCGTTCGACTGACATATCGCTACGAAACAGATTATATTCAAATCGTTCGTTCGTTCGTTCGTTCGTTCGAACGTGGTCGATGTAATAATACACACACTCACACACACACACACACACACACGCGCGCGTACACACATACATATATAGATATACCCACGTAAATAGATATATGTACATGTAAATACACACATGTCGAACAAAAGAACATACATACATATTGCTAATGCAAAGAACGTCGCGAGCGTCATATAGAAAGGAAAGGTGCTTTAAATATTTATGAACTTAGGGAAAAGAAAAAAAAAAAAAAAAAAGAAAAAAGAAAGAGAGAAAGAGAAAAAGAGAAATATAGCTTGGTTTTACGCATGGTGTCGACGCTTATCTCGTACGTCGAAATAGCCACGTTTCTGTTCCCTCGTTTTCAACGTCGTCTCATAAGGTCTCAATCGTTTGTATCGTTTTTCTTTTTTTCACCTCTTCCATATCTCTATGTATATATGTATGTACATACTTATGTATCTATGTATATATGTATATATGTATATAGTCGTGCGACTTCTAATGCAAATATTCATAATACTTTCTAACATCTCTTACATACCTCGTTTTATGATCAATTAATCTTAAATGATATATATATATATATATATTTTTATATGTGTATATATAAGTACATTGTTATTCTTACGTTTTCATTTATTTTCATAAGATATTTTAAAATTCATATTAAATCTTTTTTTTTCTTTCTATTTTTTTTTTTTTTTTTTTTTTTATATCATCTATATTATATAAAAATATCCAAAAAGTTTCATTATTATATTTTTACGTAGTAGTTTGATTAATATTTTATGATTAATATTTTAATATTACGTTTAGAGATTAAAAAAAGAAAACAAAAGAGAGAGAGAGAGAGAGAGAGAGAGAGAGAGAGAGAGAGAGAGAGATAAATATTTGATTTTTAATATAATAATCAATTTCTATTAATTATGAAACATGATTATGTAATATAATTATAACAATGGTATAAACATACTTACGTATTGATAATTAAAAAATTATCTTCAGATAAAAAGAAAGAGAAAATAATTGGATTTTAATTATAATAATCTCTTTCTCTCTCTCTCTCTCTCTCTCTCTCTCTCTCTCTCTCTTTCTCTCTTTCTCTTTCTATGAAATATAATCGAGAGTACAATTATAATTTCATAATCAATTATAAAGTAATACATAATATTTTAAGTAATAGATATACTATTTAAATAAAAATAAATAAAAAATAAATAAACAAATAAACATATATATACATATATATATATATATATATATATATATATATATATATATATAAATGGATTTATTATAAAATAAAATCAATTGTTCTATATCTTTCTTTCCCAATCTATATATGATCAAGAGCTTGATTATGATTTCAAATCTATCGATAGTGCCAACAACCACATCCATGGGGATTATAAAAGCCGAATGGTATGAAAGATAGTCTCGAATCCATTTCTCTCTCCCTCTCTCTCTCTCTCTCTCTCTTACGCTCTTTCTTTCTTCTTCTTCTTCGTCCCAAAACGGAACGATTAATAACTTTGAAAATCTGTCCCCAACAGGACCGTCGGGGAACGACGGTAGCTCTCGCGTTGGCAAATAAATAGCAGATAAATAAAACGTGCGACTTCGTCTATCTCTCTCTCTCTCTCTCTCTCTCTCTCTCTCTCTCTGTGGTTCTATCTCTCTTCTATATTCATATGGACCATTCAATGGATCTGTGCGTGTGCAGATGGCAACAATATGCCGTGAAATATTGCCTTTGGCATACTCGTGTGCACGCGTAACCCACTATCCATATGTGTGTGCGTATATACATGTGTGTATGTATAAATATGTGTACATCATACATACATACACACACACACACACACATACACAGATGTATGTATATATATATATATATAAACGTACATAGAAACATCTTAGGAAGAATCCATAGTCCTAAGCGAGTCCTTCGAAGTCGAAACTCGAAATTTATCTGTGTTGTACGGGTAAAACGATGGTGGTGGCTTGCGTGAGCATACAAATACATAAAAAGGCGTAATGGTATGCGTATAGTAGGGGACCCTCGAAGAGTGGAGAATCCCGAAGGGCAGTGTAGGCACCGTGTTATGACTTTCAGAATGGGGAGGCACAATGGCCCAGATCCGCGCCGGATAAAATAGTTATTATAATCGTTTTGGCTACGGCTGGGATCGAAGAGAGATACACAAGCTCAGGAAATAAAATCCCTTCGAACGCGTTTTCATTTTGTATATGTCTGCTGTATTCTATCTGTGTTTCTTTACTTTTACATCTCTTCCTCTCTCTCTCTCTTTCTCTGTGTGTGTGTCCGTCGTCCGTCCGTCCGTGTGTGTGTGTGTGTTACACTCGTTCGTCTTTTCCAACTCTATCAATATATACATCCTTACATGTGCGTACATACGTGTTTGTATATGTGTTTGTATATATATATATATATATATATATATATGTATGGGTTAGCCACTATGCAACCGTATTCCAAATCCGGATA